CCTGCCTCTGCCACCCCAGTGCTGGGATTAAAGGCATGCACCACCACACCCAGCAACTTTCTGTCTTCCTACCCTGCCCCAATATAATATAGCTACCTAAAGGCATAGGGGAAAAACAAAAAAACAAAAAAACTCCAGGATAATTTACCGAGTGAAAAACAGAAAAATGCGGAACATTAACACAAGTGTATAAGGAGAAAAAATAAACATGTACTTATTTTTCTGGTTTTTCATATGGTACATTAAAAAATAGTTATATTTCAAGAGTTAGAGTCATTTGTAAGAAAAGGAAATGAATAAATTAGCACACAGTGAGTGTTAAATGTGTAATGTGAATGAATTCTAACTAAAGGCTTCACCAAATGGGCATATGAGGATACAAGCCAGTTCTGAAGCAATTACAGAGTAACACGGTGATAAACTGGATCTAGCAAACATGAACTGCATTGCAGCAACCATTGCACATTACAGGCTGACTCTCCATTATTCTATCTAGATTCAGAGTCAGGATCAAAACCATCAAAATCAATCCATGGCTATGCCATTTCTGTCAAATGTCTGTTCCAGGGTTGCCAACTCTGTCAACAACCTGGAAGTGCTATGGAAAATATAATAAGGGATGAAAGAGGGAGTAATAAAAGCATTGTATGTAATTAGCAAACTTTTGCAACTCTCAAAATCCCTGCCTAAGTGGTAGCAAAGGAAGGTACAGACCACAGATAATAGACAATCACTCAGAATTTAAGCAAGAGATGACAAAACTTAAGATACTTTCAAAGGCATCAGTGAAATTCCTGTTCATAAATAAGTTTTGAGCTGGATCCAGACAAAACTGGAGAAGTACTTAGTGAAAGGAAGAAACAAGAACATGATTCTGTCTATCAGAACGAACAAAATAGTGTCAGAGGGTCTGGTATAAAACTGAGGGGGGGAAAGGACGTTAGTTACCAGAACAAGAATCACAAAGGAAGTCTTATTAACCAAAAGACTAGTACTTGTTAATCTTGGCAAGAGAGAAATCCAAGTGATCAGCTCCCAGAAGAGCTGAAGCAGAGAGCTAACCTTTGCTGCAGAAGCTAAGGAGATCAAAACCAAGGAGGACTATGGTCAAAGGGCCAACAACATGAGATCATCAAAACCAAGTTTTCAATGATGGGCTCAGCTCTTTACTTCATCTTTGGACCGGTTTTAAAAAGAATAAGTAATTCTAAGTATTGATCTGATGTCAAAAGAGAAAAAGCTATTTACTGATTGTGATCAAATTTAAAGTTTGAGTTCAGAAAGATCCACATGAGGTCACTTCTTAGATGTATACCCTTTAAATGACAAGTTATTTAACTTCTCTAGCTATTTTTATCCCCCAAGAGAACCTAGAAATTCAGAAGGTTATTGTAAAGATTACTTCAGATAATAAATGTGAAGCATTAAACAATGCCTAGCATGTGACAATCAATAACAGTAGCTACTTTAATTGATAATGGTCAAGAGGTGGCACTATGGAACAAGTCCTACTATACCAAGTGGCCTCTTTTGCCTAGTGGGTTAGAAGAGACAAACAATTAAAGAAGGTAGGGATCTTTTAAGAAAAGGCAGCATTCAGTGAAGATGAAGCATCAGGAGGATTTGGCAAATACAGAAGAACTGGCTCCCGAAGGTACAAAAATTCAAAGGTGTTTAGTGGAACTCTACAAACTTTCAAACCTAAAATTAAATGTATCTTCCTTTAAGCAAGACTTTTTCTTTTTAATTTATTGAGAATTTCATACAAGCATATAAGCATATAAGGTGTTTTGATCAAATCCACGCCCACTCCCGCCCCTCCAACTCCTCCCTTATCGTCCCATCACTATTTTTCTGATAACTTCATGCACTCCTTTTTTTAAAAAATGGGGCTTTTTGCTACTCTAACATTACCTCCATGGGGCTTTTTGCTACTCTTAACACTCCCCCCTCTGAAGAGGTAACCCTGAAATCTTTTAAGATAAGAGCTCCCAAATACTTTTGACATTTTTGACCTTCGGAATGGAGTATGTTGCTAAAAGGCCCAAGAACATTTTGACTTTTAGCCAAGAAACTGGCTACTTTTCTTTGGGGTCTTCTTACATTAACTACCTAGCCAATTCCTACCTCCTATTCTTATCACACCATCCTATGAAGAGATTACCCAGCTTGTCAAGTTGTTTCAATAATAAATACTCTTCACATAATCTCAGAAGTTTAAGGTCAACTTTGGTCCCAGTACCACATGTAACTTTTCGGACCAGCATGTGCCAATGTAAATGAAGCGAATATAAATGGAAAACATGACATTATATATGCTGCTTTGAAAGTACATTCCACAGAACCCTTACCACCACTCCTCCCTCAAGGCCCAGGGAACATCTCAGATCAAGGGGCAGAAAGATACTAAGAGCCAGAAGATGGGAGGAGTGCCATGAAACACTGCCATCCAGATACTACACAGCTGTTACAATTATGGACACACAGAAGTGGTGGGTACCTGCGCAAGATTGGCCCTTAAACATTCCATCATGAATACAGAGGTGCCCATGAGGCCCACCTCTTCCTGAAGGGCTACTGTTAATGGTTGAAGCTGGAAGGGGTGTCCTTTTCTTCAATGGTGTAGCAACTGGGAGACTAGCTAGAAAGAATGGGTACAGAGGAAAAGGGGGATAACAAGGGGGGGGCAGGTAACATAACCACAGTATATTGTGTATATGAATGAAACTGTCAAAATATTTTTAAAATCTAAATATATAAAAAGAGTACATTCTGTATGTACAAAATACCAGTAACTTAAAAACTCAGTATATACAATACTACTTAATTTTCCCATCACATCTTTGGTCAGGTGGACTTTAAAATGTCCTGATACAATTTTTCCACTTACATGTTCATGAGTCTCAAGAAGAAAGTTAAGGGCCTACATCTGTATTTTTTTCTTCTTTACAAAAAGAGATCCAAAGCTAAATATTTTTAAATAAAATTAAAAATTTACTTTTATTAAATAGTAAAATAATACTTTTATCTATTTCCTTTGGGATGCTTTGAACATATTAAAATTAAGATGTGCTACCAAAATAATAAATTAGCTGGGTGTGGTGGTGCACACCTTTAATTCCAGCACTCAGGAGGCAGGGGCGGGGGAAGCTCTGAGATCGAGGTTAGCTTGGTCTACATAGCAGTTAAGCCACTTGTATCCTTATATGTATCCTTCTAACATCACCCATATGATATAAACAGTTTAAACATACAAGGGAGGCAAATGTCCTACAGAATTTTAATGTTTAGTATTTGAACATGATTCCTTTTTTTACTTTCCTAGACTTTAAACTTGCATGTAGGGCTTTTTTTTTCTTCTTCTTCTATTTTTTAAGACTCAAACCTCAAAAGATAACATTTTTGTAGGAAACTAAAATTAACACAAGCATTTAAAACAATTAGTGAAGTGTTTTTAAACACTTCACTAAAAGACTACTTAAATTTTTTCTCATACATACATGCATGCCTTTGGATCAAAGAAGCTGAAGCTGCAGATCACAGGACCATATGTTAAAGCAGTCTAACCAGAATTGTGAGGCAGACCCTTCAGTTGTCTGAGGAAAGTATTTCAGTCTTTAACCTCAGATTCTCCCACCATGAATTGTAGGAACTTTCATAACTCTTAAAAGGCACATCAAAGGTTCATTAAACTACCATTAGAACACCTTGTAAAACCACTAAACAGCAAATACATCTTCCTCCGCTAATCAGATCTGAAAGAATTGTGCATTCATGCGAAAACTGGTGCTCCCTCTGGTACTGTGGCAATGTGATTGGTTTTTTAAAACTATCTCCAAAAGGCAATGCATGTTCTGTAGCTCAAATTTCTTGGGTCTGTGTCCTGGTACCAGACATCCTAACAGACACCTGTGACCTTTCATCACACAGAGCTGCCCTTTTCAAGCAAAAAATTCATAGGCCTTCCTGAGAGAAAGACTTCAGAAACCAAAACCCAATCTAGTTTTTACAGAAAGATTAGAAAAAATTAATACCACCATACCTACACCTTGAATCCAGAGCCTCATGCACGCTAGGCTAACTCTCTACCACTTGGCTACACCTCCAACCCAATACCAACGGGGGGGGGGGGAAGGGGGGGGGGATTCTGTTCATCCTGAACACGATCGTTCTAAACAACACGTAGTAAAAACAAATTTTTTATAAACAAAACCAATTTTTCAACTAACTGGGAGTCTTGGTGTCCTAGAAAATGCAAGAATTAGAAGACCCAAGGACTACTTCCTAGACCTTGTTGGGGATATGTCAATTTATTTATTATTCAAGGGGCCTCAGACTGAATTCTCTACGGATCTTCATGTGGCTCTAAAAACTCCCTCTTCCTAAGTCCCTGGTTACTTTCCACAACTTACAACAGAGAATTACAATTTTAGGACGTTCAAAGAGTTTGTGGTTAATACTTTGACCAGAAGTCCACCACTGCGGGCAGCACAATTCCATTCCAGAATGGGGGTAAGCCGGCCTTGCTGGTCAAGGGTGACAAACTTTGCTGGAATGCTGGGATAAGGCCACGCCACGGGTTAGGGTGGCTAAACACAAATCAGGTCTCGCAGCTCGAGGGCGCACCGCCGAGGGTGAAGCCTGGAGGAGCTGGAAGGCCAGGGGTCGCTGGGGCGGGAGCGGCGGGGCACCCCTGGAAATGAGCCCTCCAAAGGTCCTCAGAGCCCTAACTTCAAAGCAGCATGCTCCGTACCCAAACAGGTTCCTAAGTTCCGCAAAGGAGGCTGAACAAAACCCGAGAAGGGCAAAGGGGGGACAGGAGGGAAACGCGGACTGCACAGGCGGGAGGCGCACAGGTGACCGGGCCTTGCAGACCGGGCAGAATTGGAGCTTTTCGCCCCATCCCAACCGCAGCCCCTCCGGTGAAAGGACTCGGACCATCTAGCGGCGAGAAGCGACGGCCGGAGGAAGGACGAGGAGAAGAGGCGCGAGGTCCTTACCCTCTGTAAGGCCGGCCGCGCGTCGCCGGCCGCTCCAGTACCAGAAGCCAGAGGCTGCTGCTCGGAGCCGCAAGGAGGCTGCCATGCTGCGCCCGCCCCGCCTCCTCGACTTGACCTCCGCCGCCTCCCACCCCGCCGCGCCGACTGCGAATATGCTGAGCCGAGCGGGGAGGCTCGGCCTCAGGTAGGGCTCGCGCACGCGCTCTCGCTGCTCTGGGCGGGTCCCTTCCCGGGACGGGCGTAGCTCGGGGCCGAGAGGCGCGGCCCGAAAGAAGAGAGACCGTCAATCTCTTTAACGACACGGAAGTGAACCAATCAGAATCATAGGATCGGGCCGCCCTGGCCCCGCCCCCAGGCTAAAGCTAGGTTCACCACTTGCTGGCGAGAGTGAGTCTCCTTGTTTACCCAAAAGCGGAGGGTGTGTGGCGGGCGATGGCTGTTGCTCCATACCGCCTCCTCACAGCACCTACACCCCTGAACCGCCCCTTCCCGGGGCTGTAACTGTTTTTTTCCTTGGAGGCAAGGACAAACTTTCCTCGCTGCTGCAATATTTAAGAGCAGAAATTCCGCTTCTATATAGTATAGGGACTCATTTTTAACGAGTAATAAATACATGAATCTCGTAATGTTAACTTTTGTATTTTTAGTGTCTCTTGAAAAACAATCACAGAATCTACCATGTGTGTTAAAACTGAAATGGATTTGATGTTTAACCCAAGGATTTCTCAATCGTATTTGAAATAGAAAGTAATTTTATAACATTCTCTTTGAAGAGTTAGGATTTCTAACAACTTGCTATGTTCCAAGATGTTCTTTCATGTTGGAAAGTCCTACAACCTGCATCTATTCTGTAACCAAAATCTAAAGGTAGATTAAAATCCAGAACGTAGTAAGACGCATGTGCATTAAAGAAATAGATACCTTACTTACTCATATTCATTTAGATGCTTGGTTTACATATTTGAATTTCTGCTCCTTTGGAGATAATTACTCCACTGAAGGGTTGGGATCAACAGCACACCAGAGCAAAACGCATAACCTTCCAAGAAAAGCAGTACAGGAGCAAAGAACTGTTGGGGAAGTGGAACTCCTAAAGATCCACTTCACACCCTCCAAACCTGGTTTGGGAGTGTTTATTTTTTCTTTATTTATTTCTTTATTTTCCTTGTGTTGTATTCATCCAGCCTAAATAACAGAATCAAGGAATTTGGTTTTGAACCTTCAGAGAGAGAGAGAGAGAGAGAGAGAGAGAGAGAGAGAGAGAGAGAGAGAGAGACAGAGACAGAGAGACAGAGAGAGACAGAGAC